TTTTTAGTAGAGATGGGGTTTCGCCATGTTGGCCAGCTTGGTCTTGAACTCCTGACCTCAGATGATCCATTTGCCGTGGCCTCCCAAAGTGCTGGGATTACAGGCATGAGCCACTGCACCTGGCCAACTGTTTTTGTTTTTAATTGAGACAGGATCTCACTCTGTTGCCCAGACTAGAGTGCAGTGGCGTGGTCACAGCTCACTGCAGCCTTGACCTCCCCAGCTTGTGATCCTCCCACCTCAGCCCCCTGAGCAGCTGGACTAAAGGTGCACGCCACTGTGCCCTGCTAATTTTTTGTATTTTTTATAGAGTCTCCCTGTGTTGCCCAAGCTGGTCTCGAAGTCCTGAGCTCAGGCAGTCGTCCTGCTTCAGCCTCCCAAAGTGCTGGGATTACAGGTATGAGCCTCTGAACCTGGCCAGTAATGGACATTTTTCTTGTTTATAGGTTTTCATTATTTCTCAGCAATTTTTTCTTTTTTTGTGCCCATATTTAATTTTTTTCTCTTATTTGGAGAGTAAATTCAGCATGTGATAAGGCACACTTTTTTTTTCATTATGCAATATGTCCATGTAAGATAAGGCACATCTTTATCTAAACCCCTTAATCGAGAGCAACAGTGAAGCACATTTTAGAGCCCAGTCTAATATTTGGTAGTTTTGCTTTGTAATTTAGATAATTGGGATATATTCAAGTATTCAACTCAAGTAAGGATGTGACCCTGTTTCATCTTTCAGCAAATTTTTTTTTTGTTTTGAGACGTAGTCTTGCTCTGTCACCAAGGCTGGAGTGCAGTGGCACGATTTCTGCTCACCACAACCTCCACCTCCCAGGTTCAAGAGATTCTCCTGCCTCAGCCTCCTGAGTAACTAGGATTACAGGCACGCGCCACCATACTCAGCTAATTTTTTTATTTTTAGTAGAGACGAGGTCTCACCATGTTGGCCAGACTGGGCTTGAACTCCTGACCTCAGGTGATCCGCGCCCCTCCCTGGCTTCCCAAAGTGCTGGGATGACAGGCGTGAGCCACTGTGGCTGGCCTCAGCGGACTTTTTAAACAGCTGGTTTAAACGATAAAAAATAATTCATTAGTTTATTCAGTTCCTTGCCTTGATCTCTCTAATGAAGAGCTTGCCATTGTTCAAAAGGACAAAAAGAAAAAAGAAAAGGCAAAGAGCTTGGTGAAGCCACAACTCTGTAATAATCAATACTCAAATGCATTTGCATTCCTTTTAAATGTGCCCTAAAATAACATTCTTGAAGATTAAGTATAGCTAGTAGTTAACCATGTAATAAGGGTATATAAGTTCACATAATAATATATTTCACATCTGTAAAGCAAGTTCCTAGGTTTACTCTGTTTATTGGCAGACCAACATGGTACAACTTAGTAAATATACTATAGCTAATGTAAGATGTGAGATGTGAGATGACATGTAAGAAGGATATTAGCGGCAGATATGCCTTCAACAAGCTAAAGGTTGTCAAAACTGAAAAATTCGCATATTTTTGTATGATCTAAACTTGTTAGAAATGTATATTTAATTTTTTTCAGGATGCTCTGGTCCTTTTCAAGCTTCTCAGCTGTGGGAAGGTATTATTCACTCTCTTCAGGCCCAAGTGGAAATGAAAAGAAGGAGGCATCATTTAAGAACATACAAAGACTGTTTTACTGGTTCTGATGCTGTCGATGTGGTCTTAAGTCATCTTATGCAAAACACGTGCCTAAGTAGCAACGACATCTCTCGTCTTAAAGGAGTTCATCTTTGCCAAGTTTTAATGAATCACAAAGTATTTGAACTAGTAGGAATGAAGAAGCTTTTCAAAAATGAAAAGGAATTGGAATTTGAAGATTCCAACAATAGTCTCTACAGATTTCTAGGCAATAAATCATCTTATGCTCACTGCAAAACACAAAAGGATGCTGAGAATGAGTTCACTGATGAAATAAAAGCAAAAGTACCTTTAAGGTTAGTGTTACCTAAGATACTGTAATATATTTTCTTTATATCCTAGAAGAACTATATTGAGCTAAACTCAAATGCTTACTTTGTTTTTTTCAGAAGCCAATAAAAGAAATATCCATGTAAAAATTAATCCATTTATGCATTTCCTCTAAAACTGGAATGATGCAATAGTCTGGAATTAGATTATAGTGATGGCTGCATAACTTTGTGAATGTACTAGAAAACACTGAGTTACACACTTTAAAAGGGTGAATTTTGGCCAGGCAGGGTGGCCCATGCTGAGGTGAGGCAAACAGATCACTTGTGATCAGGAGTTTGAGACCAGCCTGGCCAATATAGCAAAACCGCATTTTTACTAAAAATACAGAAGTTAACAGGGTGTGGTGGCAGGCACCTGTAGTCCTAGCTACTCAAGAGACTGAGTGAGGCATGAGAATCATTTGAACCTGGGAGGCAGAGGTTGCAGTTAGCCAAGATTGTGCCACTGCACTCCAACTAGGCGACACAGAATCTTTCNAAAAAAAAAAAAAAAAAAAAAGGCGAATTTTATGGCATGTGAATCATAGCTCAGTAGTTTTTACTGTTTCCAATATAGCAGCATCTGCTGCTGTAACCAAAAATATATATTATTCCTTTTCCTTTACAACCTTTTGTTTTCCTTAGAGCAAATACGTTTTTGTTTTCTGTTTTGCTTAGTTGTTGAAGACATTATCAAATAAATTTTTCAGAATTTATACCAGAAAAAAACTATGTTTTCTAAGGAATTGATATGCTTTCTAATTTTGAAAAATGACTTAGCCAACATACTAAAAGCCAAGATTTTCTGGAAACTCAGAACAAAAATTTTCTATTCCATGATAGCAACTATGTTAACCTTAGAATTAACACATATGCTTTTTTTCTTTATTTAGAATTCTAATTTATCCTCTTTTGGTGATAGTCTATTAAATGAATTATTTGCATCTTTTATTGTAAGCTGCCTGAAATCCTTTTTGGAAATAGATAATGTATGAATAAATTTTAATACATTAATTTAAATGTGTATTTGAAATTTTGGTCTTGTATATAATGAAAAGAGTCATGTATTATTTTTTCACAGACCAGAATATGAAATGATTTCAGATCATCTAGCACAAGAGATTGGTGAGGAAAGAACTGAGGAACTTATTCATGCAATAGATGGGAATCCAGCTTTGTGTCCAAATATCACAGTTCAGAAACCTTTTCTCCGGCTTTCAAAAGAAGGTAATTTATTTTCATTATTTTTTTCATAACTTGGTAAGGAAGAGCTAACTTTTAAAAAATAGGTTCTTGCTAGCAGTTTCAAGTCCACAGCAAAATACAGCAGAAAGTACAGTTCCCACATACCCCTTGTCTCCACTCACACACAACCTTCCCCATTATCAACATCCTGCTCCCAAATGGTACATTGTTATAATCAATGCATCTACATTAATACATCATTATCACCCAAAGCCCATAGTTTACATTAAGGCTCAGTCTTGGTATTATACATTCTATGGGTTTATACAAATTTTTGATGAGATATGTCTGCCATTATAGTATCATAAAGAATAGTTTTGCTGCCCTAAAAATTCTCTGTGCTTCACCTACTCATTCCTCCCTTCTCTCTAACCCCAGGCAACCACTAATATTTTTACTGTTTCCAAGAACTGACGTTTTAAATGTGATTTAGGTAGTGTATAAGTGTACTGACTCCCTGCTTCTCTTCCCTGTAAGAGTTTCCTTCTGAACAGCAATTACATCAGATACAGCAGGTGAGGCAATATACATCTAGTAACACTTAATTCATTTTTTACAATGACCCTGACCAGATTAACTGGAAGTGATATAGTCTGTACCACAAGAGAAAACATACAGACTCACCGCAGTCCTTAGTATTTGTACTATAAAACCATCTTCTTATGAGTGTATCCTTTGTCCACTGTATAAACTCCTCCCAAACATCTTCCTGCTCCTTCCCTTTCTCAGAAGAAACTAGCTCAACTACCTGTTGCACCACTCCTCTTTACTATTTTACTTCCTCTACTTGTGTTTTTCTCCTTAAAGTGTCACTAATGGCAGAAGAAAAGAGCCCCATAGCCAGGGTAGTTAGGAGAGATATATACAAAATTCATTAATGGCCCTTTACTCCATTTGGTCAAACCATGACAGAAGCAAGACTAGCCATGACTTGCACATTGGAGGAGTATGATTTATCAACAATAGTTAACTATTAATTAACCGTTAATTCATTAATAGCCCTTTACTCCATTTGGTCAAACCATGACAGAAGCAAGACTAGCCGTGACTTGCACACTGGAGGATTATGATTTCTCAACAATAGTGAACATTGGCATGTTAAGGGAAATACAGGGTGCCCAAAGAAAGGGTGTAGAATGAGAAGAAGAGCTAGAAGAAAACCCTTTTATTTATTTATTTAGTTAGTTTTTGAGACAGAGTCTTGCTTGTTGCCCAGGCTGGAGTGCAGTGGCACAATCTCAGCTTGCTGCAACTTCTGCCTCCCAGTTTCAAGCGATTCTTCTGCTTCAGCCTCCCGAGTAGCTGGGACTACAGGTGCTCATCACCACACCTGGCTAATTTTTGTATTTTAGTAGACACGGGTTTTCACCATGTTGGTCAGGCTGGTCTTGAACTCTTGACTCAAGTGATCGGCCCACCTTGGCCTCCCAAAGTGCTGGGATTACAGGCATGAGCCACTGTGGCCAGCCATTGAGACAGTTTCACTCTTGTCGCCCAGGTGGAAGTGCAGTGGTGTGATCTCGGCTCATTGCAACCTCTGCCTCTCTGGTTCAAGCGATTCTTGTGCCTCAGCCTCCCAAGCAGCTGGGACTACAGGCATGTGCCACCATGCACAGCTAACTTTTTTTTTGTATTATTAGTAGAGATGAGTTCTCTTACACTGTGCCTGGGCATAAAAGAAAGCTGAGGAAGACTGATATTTAGAGGACAAGCAGAAGGGCCCCCCAAAAGTACAGTTTTTATTTATTACAAATGAAAAAATAACTTTTCCCATTATTTTTCCTTGAGGTCATGAGGTACCTCTAGAAATTCCTAACTAAAAGTGGATATAATATATCAGTAAAGGCCAGGGCACAGTGGCTTACACCTGTAATCCCAGCACTTTGGGAGGCCAAGGCGGGTGGATCACCTGAGGTCCAGAGTTCAAGACCAGCCTGGCCAACATGATGAAATCCCATCTCTACTAAAAATACAAAAATTACCCAGATGTTGTGGTGCATGCCTATAATCCCAGCTACTTGGGAGGCTGAGGCACAGGAATTGCTTGAACCCCAGAGGCAGGGTTTGCGGTAAATGGAGATTGCACCCTTGCACTCCAGCCTAGGCAACAAGAGTGAAACTCCATCTCAAATAAAAAAATTATAGGTAATAATAATAATTTCAACTTGTATTGGACCTTTCTCTGTGCTAAGCAGTTTGTTATGCATTTTGTATTTATTATCCATGATCTCATAGTAGCCTGTAAAGTGAAGGGTAAAACTTGCTTTTTTTTTTTTTGAGACAGAGTTTCACTCTTGTTGCCCAGGCTGGAGTGCAATGGCATGATCTTGGCCCATCGCAACCTCTGCCTCCTGGGTTCAAGCGATTCTCCTGCCTCAGCTTCCCAAGTAGCTGGGATTACAGGCATATGCCACCAGGCTCGGCTAATTTTGTATTTTGAGTAGAGACGGGGTTATCCATGTTGGTCAGGCTGGTCTCAAACTCCCCACCTCAGGTGATTTACCCACCTTGGCCTCGCAAAGTTCTGGGATTACAGGTGGGAGCCACTGCACCTGGCCAACTGTTTTTGTTTTTAATTGAGACAGGGTCTCACTCTGTTGCCCAGACTGGATTGCAGTGGCGCGGTCACAGCTCACTGCAGCCTTGACCTCCCCAGCTCAAGTGATCTAGCCACCTCAGCTTCCTGAGCAGCATTTTATGGTCAGGGAAACCAAATCAGAAGAATCATGTTGTTGTTGTTGTTGTTGTTTAAAAAAAAAAAGACATGGGAGAGAATGAAAGCTGGCACTCTAATGGGGTTTTTAAAAGTATTATCCTTATCCTTATTATACATGCACATAATATAACCTTTTAAATAGCTGTACCAGTTTGTTACAAAAAAATAGCAATTCCCTTCCCTTTCATTCCCTCCTCCCCAGACACAGCCATTTACAATTAATATCTATAAATAGCATGCTTGCATGGTTACTTTATGATTTTTCAGCTTTAGGCACATCCATTAATTTTCTAAAAGGGAAAATGGGGATTTATGTATCTTTCCCTCCTTGCATCTACCTTACAACTACTTCCTCATGCCATTATCTTTTAATATAATTAGATTACTTTGATTAGAGCAATACGGCATGTTTACATTATTTTGGCCATAAGTGCTTTTTAGAGTTGAGATATATAATAAACCATCTATTGCTAAAACCAAAAATGTATATTATTCCTTTTTCTTTACATTTTTTCTTTAGAGCAAATATATTTTTGTTGTCTGTTTTGCTTAGCTTTTTACAGTCATACACATTTTCACCTACAAATGCTCCAACACTTATCCAAATCACCTGCCGGGATGCCCAGGTGTATCAGGTATTTTATCAGTTTCATCTTCTTAGAGAAATCCCCTTCACAAGATTTATCACGTGTCAATCATTGGCTGGCTGACCTCTATGTTTGGTGCATGGTTGTCATCCTGGGATCTCCCTTCACCATGATCATGGGGATTACCTTTGCCTCTCTCTTATGTCGGATCTCCTACGTCCCGTCTTCTGTGCCTTTTCTTGTTTACTGCTCATTTTAATGGCACACATTTTCTAGTAGTTTCCTGAGAAAGGGTACGTGGGAGATATATATATATATCTATATAGATAGATAGATATAGATATAGATATAGATATAGATATAGATATTTTTTTTTTCCAGACAGAATTTTGCTCTGTTGCCTAGGCTGGAGTGCAATGGCGTGATCTTGGCTCACTACAACCTCTGCCTCCTGGGTTCAAGCAATTCTCATGCCTCAGCCTTCCGAGTAGCTGGGGTTACAGGCACATACCAACACACACGGCTAATTTTTGTATTTTTGGTAGAGACAGGGTTTCACCATGTTGGCCAGGCTGGTCTCAAACTCTTGGCCTCAAGCAGTCTGTCCACCATAATCTCCCAAAGTGCTGGGATTACAGGCATGAACCACCACACCTGGTCTGAGAAAAATTTATGTGTTTGCATTTCTGAAATTTTCTTCATTCTAGCCTCTTATTTGACTGACAGAATTCTAGGCTGGAAATAATTTCCCAAATAATTTTAAAGATTTTTCCCCATTGCCTTCTAGCTTCTTTTGTTGGTATTGCAAAGACTAAAGTGTTGCAGTTGGCTATGAAGAAAAAAAAGACTAAAGCCTTTCTGATTAATGATACTATGTATCTGATTTGTTCCCCATCTCTATTCCTAAACTTAGAGTCTTCGTTTTATCCCATGCTTTCTGAAATTCTTTTTTTTTTTTTTTTTTTTTTTTTTTTTTTTTTTTTTTTTTTTTTTTTTTTTTTTTTTTTTTTTTTTTTTTTTTTTNTTTTTTTTGAGATGGGGAGTTTCATTCTTCTTGCCCAGGCTGGAGTGCAGTGGCGTGATCTTGGCTCACTGCAACCTCCGCCTCCAAATTCAAGCAATTCTCCTGCCTCAGCCTCCTTAGTAGCTGGAACTAACAGGCATGCACCACCACGCTGGCTAATTTTTGTATTTTTAGTAAAGACGGAGTTCCTCCATGTTGCTCAGGCTGGTCTTGAACTCCCAACCTCAGGTGATCTGCCCACCCCGACCTCCCAAAGTGCTGGGATTACAGGCGTGAGCTACTGTGCCTGGCTGCTTTCTGAAATTCCAAAGTAATATGCTTTGAGGTAAATCTGTTTTTACTTACTGGGCTGTTGTAATCTATACTTTTTTTTAAATTTCTTGGGAGATTTTCCCCATTTCTCCCTAACTCTGTCTTTTCTAATTCCAATCTCTTATTCAGGTACTGGACCTTCTTAACTAGTTCTCTAATTTATGTATATTTTTCTCTCTTATTGTTCGTATTTTTGTTTTTTGTTTTTGGTTTGTTTTACCTAATAGGAAGTATCTTCAAATTTATCCTCCAGTTTTCTTATTGATACCTAAAAGCACTTTTCCTTTTTTTCTTCTTTTTTTACTTTTTCCTAAAAGCACTTTTAAGTTCTCAGAATTTCCTTTTGTGTGGCATCCTGTTTTTGTTTTATGTTTGCTTGTTTTGGTTACCTTTATGTCCCTGGCACTTAGAACAGGAGTTTGAGGCTGCAGTGAGCTATGTTCATGTTATGGCACTTCAGCCTGGATGACAGAACAAGACCCTATCTGTCTGTCTGTCTGTCTGCCTATCTATCTATCTATCTATCTATTTTAGAATTTCACATGAAATCTCTTATTTGTATATGTTTTCTTCAGAGTACTTTATAACCAAGCAAATCATGGCTCTGGGCCAAATTTAGTTCACAGGCCAAATTTAGTTCACAGGCCACTGGCTTGGGAGCTCTGCAAGAGACTTACTGTAACTGTTGCTTTTGTAATTCTGTTAAATTAAAGGAAAACCAGGCTGGTCAGAGTGCAATGGTGTTTACAACTAATTGATCACAGCCAGTTACAGACTTCTTTTTTCCTTCTCCAGTCCCACTGCTTCACTTGACTAGTCTTACAAAATAAAAACAGGCCAGGTGCGGTGGCTCACACCTGTAATCCCAGCACTTTGGAAGGCCAAGGCTGGCAGATCACTTGAGGTCAGGAGTTCGAGACCAGCCTGGCCAATTTGGTGAAACCCCATCTCTACTAAAAATACAAAAATTAGTCCAGCATGGTGGTGCATGCTTGTAGCTACTAGCTACAAGAGTTGCTCAAGAGGCTGAGGCAGGAGAATCACTTCAGCAGGGGAGGTGGACGTTGCAGTAAACTGAGATTGCACCACTGCACTTCAGCCTGGGCAGAGTGAGACTCTGTCTCAAATAAATAAAGTAATAATAAAAATAAAGGAAAAACAAAAGATTAATTATGATCTGATGGTTAGGGTGATGAAAAATGTAACAGGAATGACTGGAAACTCAAGATAAAATTAACCTAATACTGTATTTTAGTTTAAAAACAATGAACTACAATGGTCTGTGGTGCTATAAATAGATAAATAATTAGTAATCTCATATTCTCTTAGATGTATAATAGAAGTTATAAGCATGACTAGTAATTTTTATTATATTTGGAATTAACCTAATGTTGGTCTTAAGAGATAGATAACACATCTTTATAATCAGCATAACAGAAAATAAAATTAATATGGCTCATAACTCTGATGTTTAAGATTAATCTTGAAAAATTATAATATAACAAATGTAAATTATCTAAGCATTAAATTAACCCACCATATCACTACTGAACTTGTTTTTCTTTTTTCTTTTTTTGAGATGGAGTCTTGCTCTGTTGCCCAGGCTGGAGTTCAGTGGGGCAATCTCAGCTTACTGCAACCTCTGCCTCCCAGGTTCAAGTGATTCCCCTGCCCCAGCCTCCCGAGTAGGTGGCTTTACAGGTGTGCGCCACCACACTCAGCTAATTTTTGTATTTTTAGTAGAGACGGGGTTTTACCATGTTGGCCAGGCTGGTCTCAAACTCCTGACCTCAGGTGACCCACCCACCTGAGTCTTTCAAAGTGCTGGGATTACAGGCCTGAGCCACCTTGCCCGGCATAATTTTGCTTTTGTATTCTTTAGAAATAGAAAGATTTTACAATATTTATTGAATGTGTATGTTTTACTTACCAACCTTGATTGTTGCATTACTTTCCTTTTTAAGTTATACAAGATGTTTGGAAAGAACAAACATTATTATGTATTCTTCAATTGATTCACCTTCCATTCTTGGAAAATGTTTTGGAGCCTCCAGTTAAAACACAAAATCTTCAATTAAACAAAGAGGAAAATCTTGTTATCGCTAACACTTGCCTAGACAGAGAACTTATTCCAAGCTTATGTCTACGCGAGTGACTATTTTTATTGTCAAATAATTTATAATTAAAGTTTTTTCACATATTTGCCCTTTGTATTTTAAGATGTGAGCAAATATTCATGTCATAAGCTGATACCATCTCTCTTTTATAAATTATCACTATGAATTCTCACTTGATCTAACAAAGAAAGCCATTGGTCATGACCTATAAGAAGATCATTGGAAGTCGGAGTGGTTTGGTTCATATGAATTCATTTATATGTCAATTGTCTTCTCCCTACACCATCCAAAATTCTGTCATTTCCATTTTATGACCATCCCAGTTTCTACCAGCTTATTTTTCCCTGCCCTGAAAGAATACATAGTCCACATGATATACGTGAAAGAAAAAATTATAGTCCAAAGAGATTAGCCCTATCATAAAATAAGCCTAATTTGTAGATAATAGATTCAGGGAACCCTGAATGAGACTCCTTTCCCTTTTACTCCCAACTCAAAGCAATTTCTCACTTCTGAATAAAGCAGCTGCTGGCAACTATAGGTATTAGACCTTGAGTACTGTTGGGATTCCAGCAGAGAGAACTGATACAGTGCTTCTTCCCATGTAAGCCAAACAAGAAGGTTAGACACCAAGGCTGAGGACCAGAAAACTTCAGATCTTGTGAAGAGGTTAGTGATCAGAGACCTCTGGACCCTCTTAGTCAATTGTGGTGTTGTTTGCACATGGCAGATTTCTCTTATTCACAATAGGCCAAGAAAGACCCAAACAAAGGGCTGTCTTCCTGGCCTTGAGTCAGGGATAGTACAGGGACACCAAAAAAGAAACAGGATTTCTGCAGGTGCCTCTGCAGGAAACTCACAGCAGCTGGTCTGCCTTTAAAAAGGCAGAAAGGGCAGGTTTTCTGTAAGAGAAAAGCAATCAAACTGTCATTAGCCTTTCATCTGCAATACTAGGATCTAGAAGATAATGAATCACACATATTAGGCAAGATGTATATTAGGCATCTGTCAGGAGAAAAAAAAGGAAAGAAGGGCCAAAGGGCCTGTAATCCCAGCAACTTGGGATGCTAAGGTGAGAAAATTGCTTTAGGCTAGGAATTCAAGACAAGCATGGGAAACATAGTGAGACCCTGTCTCTTAAAAAAAAAATTAAAAATTAGCTAGGCATGACAGCACATGTCTGTAGTCCTAGTTGCTCAAGAAGCTGAGGGGAAAGGATCACTTGAGCCCAGGAGCTGGAGGTTACAGTGATCTATGACTGTGTCACTGCACTGTAGCTGGGTGACATAGCAAGAACCTGTCTCAAGGAAGGAAGGGATGAAGGGAGGGAGGGAGGTGTTGGAGGGAGGGAGGGAGGAAAGGCAGAGGGAATGAGTCAGGAAAGATATTTGAGGATTGTGAAGAATTCAGGCCAGGCACAGGGGTCCACACCTAAAATCCTAGCACTTTGGAAGCCCAAGGCTGGTGGATTGCTTGAGTCTAGAAGTTTGAGACCAGCCTGAGCAACCATAGCAAAACCCTGTCTCTATAAAAAATACAAAAATTAGCCAGGTGTGATGGTACACACCTGGGGGACTAAAGTGAGAGGATTGCTTTTTAGTCCAGGAGGCGGAGTTTATAGTGAGCCAAGATCATGCCACTGCACTCCAACCTGGGCAACAGAGCAATTTTTTTCCTATCTCAGGAAAAAAAAAAAAAAAAAAAAGTCAAAAAAGGGGACATACTATTAAGGGAAATTATAATAAATTCTAATCTCTGTTGGCAAAACCTAGGGGTTGGGAGGGCAGCAGATATGGAAAACGGAGAAAAAAAGGCCTTCCAAAGGAGTCACCGGACGGCGGGGTAGTGACAGGACCTTAAATTTCTTATCTTACTGGGGTGGGCAAATAAGAAAGGTAAAACAATGTGTGGTGAGGTAAACAATACATCTAGGTTGGGGAAATATTTGGTATCTTATTTTCAAATAATAATAGAACCATATGCATCTCATTGGAGTAGGAAAAGGGAAGAGAACTACTAACAAAATTAGAAATAAATAATAAAGTGTTCACTAAAAATTATTTTAACTTTGTGAAAATAAAGGTCCATAAAGGTGTGTGGTGGTGTTCAGTAAGGAATACAGCCATTCTCTTATAGTCCTTCGCTCATCCATTGAAATGTATTGAAATGCTTCTCTCAAAAAATAATTTCTTCTTTAGATTTATCTAGCTTAAATTAGCCAGATTTTATCATGTTTTATCTGACAGTGCATGTAGTTAAATGGAAATGTTAACCATTGATTTATTTTGGTTTGCATTTTCCCTCCAGGATTGATAACTGGCTTAATGCAGCAATTGAATGCTTGGAGTATTTCCCTGACCAGTTGATAGTTGCAGCTAGTCAGCAGTTAATGCAAAACAGAAATGAAGAGACAAGATTGAACATTCAGAGGAAGATACTCTTTGATGTCATAGCAAAATACTATACACAAGAGAGAGCGTGCCTATTAACTGATGAGTATCTTTTTTTTGGGGGGGGGGCAGTGGTGTTTCTTCTTTATTCAGCAAGGCTTCCACTTTCCCGGGAATCTGTTCTGAAGCAGTATCAGCGACACAGAACAAATAAAACAACTTGTACCATTGTCCTTGACACTGCAATAAAGTGTGAGACACCCATTGTTACTAGTGTTCCAGTTGAGACCCCTGATGTACAGACACCATGAGCCATGTATTCAGTTAAGCCTGGACTGACATTTCAGTTCTGCTGTGTACTTAACCATGTAAACTTGGGCTCTTTAACTTAATTTTTCCAATCCCAGGTTCCCTATCTGTCAAAACAGAGCCAATAATATCTATTTGACAGCACCATTCTGAGTTGTAATCAGCTCAATATGAAGAGCTTCCAAGTATGGCTCCTGGAACATAGGACACATTGAATACTCAGTAGTTAGTTCATGTTAGCAAGATGTGCTTTACTTTCTGTCACAGCAGGCAAACAGGTGGCCCAAAGAATAGATTCAGCTCACAGACATGTTTCATCCAGTTGAATACAGTTTTTAGAATTGTAAAATATCCAGTTTACCATAGTCCCCCCACCACTTCCAACTGTGTCATGCAGCCTACTTCATTCATTAACTTTAGTGGCCTGGCCCTGTAAACATTTGAGTTTTAGACTCTTGCCCTACCATAGCAATGCAGTTAATCCAACAAGACTAACATCCCTGCCTCATTAATTCAGAATCTTTTTTTTTCCATTTATTTATTTTATTGCATTTTAGGTTTTGGGGTACATGTGAAGAACATGCAAGATTGTTGCATAGGTATACACGTGGCAGTCTGATTTGCTGCCTTCCTCCCCGTCACCTACATCTGGCATCTCTCCCCTTGCTATCTCTCCCCAACTCCCCACCCCCCACCGTCCCTCCCCTATTTCCCCCCAACTGACCCCAGGGTGTAGTGCCCCCCTCCCTGTGTCCATGTGTTCTCATTGTTCAACACCCACCTATGAGTGAGAACATGCGGTGTTTGATCTTCTGCTCTTCTGTCAGTTTGCTGAGAATGATGGTTTCCAGGTTCATCCATGTCCCTACAAAGGACACAAACTCAACTGATGAGTATCTTGATATTCATTCAGGAATTATTGAACTTTTAGGTAAGACAGGATCTTTATACTTTAATTTTCAGTGTAATGAAGTATACAAGTTGAAGTAGAGAATTGTGTATACTATATGAGTATTACATTTTAATATTTTTCTTCTATGACGTTAAGGTACTTCAAGGAGTCTTTTTTTTTTTTACGTCACTACTATTGCTTACCTTTTAAATTGTATTATCAAATGTAACTAATATAGTATAGGGTGTAAATCTAAGGCAGTACATCATAGGGATATCACAGGGACATTATAAGAAATATGATATAGTACAAGGATTTAAGAACTGAGGTACCTAGAAATACTAATTTCTGAGTTATTAATTTGGTGACCTTTAGCAAAATAAAAATTGAGTGACATAATATGTTATTTTTTAGCTATGTAAGTGGCCATATAATTTCAGGTTAAAAACAAAATACTGTTTGATAATTCTGGGTGTAGTTACATTGGATATTACATAGAATTATATAGATAATTTCCTATGCATTTAAAATATTCCATAATAAAAAATTTTTAAGTGTAGAAAAGAACTTGTAAACCAATACAACATTGTAGCATTTTAATTGACTACTAAGTAAATACTTACTATACTCTCCATTTTTTATCCCATGCTTTGTTTACTTTGTAACCCATGTAACAGAAAATGAGAAAAAAGCAAAAGCACTTGAAGCTGTACAACTGTATCTAAGATTGTTGTCACTGAACATTAGAGAAGACTTATGACGGCTACTTATTTTTATGGCTGTGGCATCACAGCCCAATGCCTACAAGTTGCAAAAACAGGTGAAAATTTTTGCAGTAAATTTTACCATCTTTTTGCTATTTTTTTCTTTAAAAACCATTTATGCTAATGTTAACCTTTCTGTTTACAGTATGATAACAAAACAGTGGTCCTGAAAACTCTTGCCAAATCAGTTTTGCAAACCAAATCATTATTAAAAGTGCAGGCAGAACAACTGGTCTGGTTTCTACTGGAGTATCACTCTGAGCTCTTTAAGGTATCTCTGGCATTTTACCTGGGCACATTTATTCCTGAGCTATTTGTGTCAAACAAAAAAGCAAATCATTCACTTCTTAGTAAATAATTTACTAAGTATAATGTGCAAAGTTTAAGGAAATGCTGACTCCCCATACCCATGAAAGAATAGGAAACAGACTTAAAACTATTTTGTTAGCTGGGCACAGTGGCTCACGCTTGTAATCCCAGCACTTTGGAAGGCTGATGTGGGTGGATCACTTGAGCCTAGGAGTTTGAGACCAGCCCGGGCAACATGGCAAAACCTCGTCTATACAAAAAAAAAATATATATATATATATATTAGCCAGGCGCTGTGACACACAACTGTGGTCCCAGCTACCAGGAAGGCTGAGGTGAGAGGGTCAATTTAGCCTTTGAGGTTGAGGCTGCAGTGAGCTGTGATGGTGCCATTGCACTCCAGCCTGGGTGATAGAGTCAGAGACCCTGTCTCAAAACAAAACAAAACACCCAGGAGTGGCAGTAGCATTAGTAAAACATGGTCATATTCTTACTATATTTTGAAATGTTTTTGAAAAATTTTTAGCCTCACTATTATATTTCAGTACCAGACAATAGTATGAATACATTTAAAGGTGTTATTTCTTCAAAACCTCTCTAAAGAATTTTCTTTCTTCTCTTTTCTGGCTTAAAAATGTGTCTGGCTGGGCACAGTGACACATGCCTTTAATCCCAGCTACTCTGGAGGCTGAAGTGGGATGACTTGAGCCCAGGAGTTTGCAACTAGCCTGGGCAACATTGCAAGATCCCATTTTATTTAAAAACAAATTTTTGTCTTATGTAATAATGAAACATATTGATCCAAATTTTGTAATAGTTCTGTTGACCTTAACTGAACTTTTTTTCTATTATTTACAAGAAAAAGGTGGTACTAAGTATATACAATAGAGGCAGTCCCCATTAACGTTAAACATTAAAATGTTTCATTTATGAATTTTGAATTCATGTTATGTAAATATTTAATGTGACAGTCACTAAACTAAAATTCTTATATGTAGTTTTTCTCATACGTAGTTTACCTGCTAAAATGGGTCCTAGATTTCAACTAGCAATTTAGAAAGAATACTTCCTCTCTTCTCTCCTCTTCCATATTACTCAGCCTCTCTGCTTTCTTCTTTCTCACTCTACCCTCTCCTCTACATAAATGAATCTGCCTCTTTCCTACACATGGTACAGACATTAGGAAGGATTGTCTTTTCATCTTCCTACCTCCCCCTTCATGTGAAAACTAGCAGTGTCATAAAGAAACATACTGTTTTGAGCAAGGTGCTATGACTCATGCCTGTAATCCCAGCATTTTGGGAGGCCGAGGCAGGTGGATCACTGGAGGTCAGGAGTTTGAGACTAGCCTGGCCAACATGGCGAAACACTGTCTCTGCTGAAAATACAAAAAGTAGCCGGGCTTGCTGGCAGGCACCTGTAATTCCAGCTACTTGGGAGGCTGAGGCAGGAGAATCGCTTGAACCTGGGAAGTGGAGGTTGCAGTGAGCAAAGATTGTGCCACTGCACTCCAGCCTGGGTGACAGCGTGAAACTCCATCTCAAAAAAAGAAAAGAAAAGAAAAGAAACATACTGGTTCAAATTTTGTAGCAGACCACAAAGGGAGAAAAGGAATTTGACATGGGCTGGAGGAAGTAGGGGTATGGGAATCAGGAAGCAGGGAGAAGGGCCCTGGTGGTTGGTTTCTAGAGATTAGAGGCTGGTGTATTTCAGGGAGGCTGAGGTGGGGATATTTATGATGGGGGCTCTCAAACATGCCAGGCTTCTTCCTGTTACAGGGCTTTCCCTTTGCTGTCTACCTTTGGCCACTGCTTTCACTCTAGCCTCTTACTCTGCTTTATGTTTTCATAGTGGTGCTTATCACTACCTGAAAGTATATGTATTTGCCAACTTTTTTGTTAAATTGTCTTTCTCTCCTACGAGAATGTAACTTCCCATAAATTTGGGAACTTGATCTACTCATTCATCACCTATAACAGTACCTGGCACATAGAAATCACTTGCTCAATTTTTATTGAATGACAGATTGAATTAATGGGGACAGTATCATGGCTGGAAAGTGGCAGGACAAATAGAAGCTAATGAAAAGGTAGCTGGTGAGCCCGATGAAGGAGCTATCTAGAAGTGAGCTTCGGGATTGGTAGGGATAGGGCATGCCCTCTGCAACAGTATTAGTCAAGGGATTATTCTCCAGATATGCGTAGTAGCCTTGGATTACCGTTAGTATACCCAAATTGGAAAAGGAATATAGACCTATTTTGTTTGTTTGGAGGTTTTTGATGCTGTTATTAGGGACAAGATCTTGCTCTGTTGCCCAGACTGGTCTCGAACTTCTGGACTCAAGTGATCTTCCTGTTTAGCATCCCAAAGTGCTGGGATTACAGGTATCAGCCACCACACCTGATCATTTTTCTATTTTAAGAGAATAATTTTAATGTATTTTAGAGCTGCTATTTACCTAGGGACTATGTAATTACAATGTAAGGTTATTTAAATAAATACTGTAATTGAAGTATAAATAATTTTTATTGTTATAGAACATTTCACTATTGATGAGTTAGCCTAATTTTAAATATAGTACATACATGAAAGCAGAAAATAAGATTTTAAGAGTGCTAAAAAATTTTCAAGAATTCATAATTCAGAGGCCTTTTGCCACCCACCCTTTCCACTCATCTACAATCCTTTCCCTCCACTCATTGGTCAAAAATATTGAGATTTTTTTTTTCTTTCTATGTTGAAATCCTGGCTAGAAAAAAATCATATTAAATATTTGAAAATACCTGTTTTTGTGTAGACATCAGTTACTTTATTGGATCTGGTTAGTAAGAAACTTAAGAAGCTTCTACATGGAGAAGATGCAGATGCCACATCAAGTATGGATTCCAGCTTGTTTCTCCTTTATCCTTAAGTGATTGCGGTGGCCAAATGAGTTGGGAAGGCATCAAAGATGAATATGTAATAAATATATGTAAAATGTTGTAAAAAATGGTTATAGTAAGGTTATTATTATTATTTTTAGTATCTCCAGGGTAAGTTCTTCTCTAGTTCTTTTCGGAAACCCTTTGTTTATTTACCTTTTCTACTAAAAAGGCAAGAACCTTGTGTCTCTCACTGCTGCTCCCAATTCTCACCTCCCCTTCAGTTATCACCCACATGCCTGTTTCTTTGCTCCTGAGCTCTCTGTGGTGTCTTTTTCTGACTCTCTCAGATTCTTTTTCTTGTTTTCATCCTCTCTCCATTACCCGCTTCTTTTCTAGGGGAAGGATCAAATTTTATAGAAGGGCAGCCTGACCCCCAGTTGAATAGACTCCATGATTCTTTTCACTCAGTGTCTTTAGGCAATTGATCTCATTCTTTAACATAAAACTGTTGAAAACTATAAAATATTTTTAATCCTAATTTATTAAGACTGTCACACAGGAAACAAGATATCCTAATAGATATATCTGTGAGTGCGAGCACCAAATTGTCTGGACAAGGCATTTAACCCCTTTTTGCCTCAGTTTCCTCAACTACCGAACGGGAATGATAATATCTATCTCATTGTGTAGTTAAATATTTAATATTTATGTTATTAATAGGATATTATTCTATTAATATATAATGCTGGTTATAATTAATTATGATTAATATATCTGAATTAACATGATATTAGCTGACACATATATTGAGCCCTACTATGTGTCAGACACTGTGGTGAAGATTAACATAATTTATGAAATTATTTAATGTTCACAATAATCTGTGTAGGTGTATTAATATTATTTCATTTTATAGGGGAGGTAACTGAAGCTTAGAGAGGTTATGTAACTTGGTAAACTAGCAAGACATGTGACCTTCTTTTAAAAAAAATGTCAAGGGTTGTGGCAGGGGGGAAAATGTTTCAAAGGCATTATTAATTGTTGAAAAGAACATTTACAGAGGAGGGCATAAGTGTACTTGCTTGAATTACTTGGAATTTCTCAGCTAATAGATGTCATTTTATCTCATTCCCTTCTTTGAATACAGAGTATATGGCAACAAGTATGTTGCCACATGCATCTTGCCTATATGATGTAATTAATGATATGAATCAAATATTCTGAAACTAATAGTTAGAATCTTTTGGATTAATTTATTCTTATCTGGCTAATTTCAAAACAAACATTAATTGGCTGCCATTACTGCATTAGCTTTCACATTCAACTTTTCATTACTTTTGACTTTTGAGGAAAATGGATGGATTGTTGGCATTTTACTCTTTATTTCTATTCAACAATATATGCCAGGCAGGGCCCAGTGGCTCAGGCCTGTAATCCCAGCACTTTGCAAGGCTGATATGGGCAGATCACCTGAGGTTAGGACTTCGAGACCAGCCTGGCCAACATGGTAAAACGCTGTCTCTACTAAAAATACAAAAATTAGCCAGGTGTGGTGGTGCATGCCTGTAATCCAAACTACTTCGGAGGCTGAGGCAGAAGAATCACTTGAACCTGGGAGGCAGAGGTTGCAGTGAGCCGAGATTGTGCCACTGCACTCCAGCCTGGTTGACAGAGTGAGACTCCATCTCAAAAAAACAAAAATAAAAACAAATACACTAAGGGGAGATTATGAATATAAATGTTTTTGCACAATGCCATGTGCTATAAGCACTTGGAAAGTAAAGAGTTTTCTGACAGCATTTCTCCCTAAATAGCTTACCTATTTTATCTCTTCTTGAATCTTATCTCTTACTCAGTAAAACTGTCAGAGTATACCAGTAAACCACTTAAATTTTTAGATTGTCTCGATGTTTTGTATTTTTTGCTTTTTTTTCCATAGGTTATTTGAAATTCATTTTCTTTTGTTTTCTTTTTTTTTTTTT